TTAATAAAAGTTTAAAAGATATTCAGTACAAGGTTGCCTGTTTCTGCACCTCCCTGGGGCTGGCCACATTCTTGAACCTTCTACTTTACTCTACAAAGGATTTCCAGTCCTAGAGTCAACCCCCAGTGAACGATGTTCCAGGTGGGGAGAAGGTACTAGCACCATCTCCCTTCATTACACACCACATCTGAGCCTGATATGGTGGGGCTCCATTTACACTTTATTCTGAAGGTCAAGTGTTCATGGACATTCTGATCATTTCCACCACAAGATCCAGTTGCTGTGAAATCTCCGTCTTCTTTACCCACGAGTCTCATCTCTCAAGTTGACAGCTCCATCATCCCACTACCATAGCTGTTGGAGTAGGCTACAGTCATGCAATATGGGTGGTCCCTCAGCCAAGGAATTACTAAGAGGACTGGGTCCACCTCCTGGATCTTACGTCAGTATTCAGTGAGGAGCAGGTAGAGAGAGTAGGCCACTGTGATGTACTTCCACCTGCCTGTGTACCAGCTGAGCAAGTGTGGATGCTATGTTCTGACCCAGCTGGATGTAAGGCCTGGTGAATCATATTCATGTATGTACAGGGCGTAGACTGTTTTTTAACCATAGCAAACAAACAGGCAAGATGCTTCATTCAATAAGGAGTCCAAATATCAATCTAATTAGACATTTCAGAATAAAATTGTCTTTGGAAAGAGACAGATGTTGTAGAAAGCTGTCAGTTTTTCCACAGAAGCAGAACAGCACAGACAAGAGCAATGTAAGCTTCTTCCCGCTGCTCTCCCAACATAAAGGACCATCTTCAGCAGGTGAGAGGATGAATCTTAGTGCTCTTTGAGGACTCAGTCTAGCAAGGGACTGAAAGTAAACCCCTCCACTTCATTCTGTGGAGCTGTGGGTCCGGGTAGCCTCCCCAGGAATTGAAATTGGGGGGGGTTGTCAAATTTACAAGGGTGGTTGTCAGGGCCGATGAGGGGTGACACCGTGAGGGTGAAGGTGGGCTGTATGGCACCGTAGTTCACATAACTGGGGAGGAGTTGGGGAAATTCAGGGGGGGTATACACTTCCATGGGGGGGGAGGAGGTAGGGAAATCCCTGTTCCCTCACTTCAGCAGCATCTCACGGAACTGGATCTCTATATCTTGTTGACCGAGAATTAATCCGTGCCAAACCAGGAGGGATCTAGACTGACAGCCACCCACTGGTACAGTGGCTGCTAATAATGCAGCAAAAACATTGTCATATTTAATGGTCTACCAAAAGATTGCATTCTCAGTAAAGAGTACGAGAGATATTTTTATAACAGGTTAAATGTTATAGTTTTAACCTAAATTATAAACTAAATTTTATAGTTTTGTTATAGTTGTATTATCAGAGTTTTAGTAAAGTTTTATTGTTAAAGCTAAAGGACAATTACAGAGAAATTGTTACTCAAGAGCAAAAATACTTCTGGTATTTACTTTTTGTTGTTTCACTGGAGCTCTTAACATATTTCTAAAGAATTTATTTCACATAGGACATCTAACAGCCATCCGTCAGTAGCAACATTTGGTCACTGCTATTATGGGCTGGATACAAATGGGCCCACAGATAGTAGGAAACTTGCCCCCATCAGCAAAGTCTTCTTCATCCCCAGATGAGACAGTAATGAGCCACTGTTCTCACATACTGATGACTTTTGGGCCTTCCAAAACACCATGAAACTCCTGGCAGAATACCTCCTGATCCCATTAGAAGAGGTTCAGATGTCTCACTTGTCTGTGTTGGACATTTGGAAAATCATCTGCTTGTAGAGTCTGCAAATGCCTGCCACTATCCAGCAGCCCTGTAAGCAGGCAGATAAATAGTGCCATATTCCAGCCAAGGAATTGTTCATTTCTTTTCCCACCCTACTCCTAATTCCCTGGTGGTAGATGTGGCTAATGAAAGAAGTCAACAAACCTGCTCCAGATTGTCTCCTTATGACTGAGTTCAAATGTTTAGACCTCTTGGGTATAAAGCTATTCCTCATTGGCTCTCCAATTTTGGGTGACAAACTATCAAGCCCTGTTGGCAAAATATGCTTTTAACATGGGTGTTGGATCAGACTTCAAAATTATAAGGTTAATATGGTGTGAGCTACTCCCTACTTAGAGTCAGTGTGTGAAGAATGAACACGATCCCTTCACCTGCCACATTTATTCTGTCCCAAACAAAAATTTGTCTTCCTCTGCTCTATTACTGTAAGAGTGTTGACATAAAAAATGAGGTTAGAGAAAACGTTCATTCGCATCAAATATATAAATATTGAATCAAGATAACTTACCTTCTGCTTTTCTTTGTTAAGCACCCGATAGTGAGGTTATTGTCACACATTTGGGAGTTGGGAGCTATTATTTAGTAGGGGAGATTCAAATGTGAAATCCCTAGCTGGAGGGGAAGTCACACAAGTATCTTGAAGCTGCATCCTGAGGTAAATAATATGTTGCAATGTATTTAGCAAATAATAATGCTATATTGCCCCAGGAGTGTCTATGGCAATCTAGGACCAGATGCAGAGATCAGTCTAAAGATATGTGTACACTGCAATGTAAACCCAGCATTCAAATTCAGGAGCAAGCCTATCCCCTACCCCCTTTACATCTACACACAATTTGCACTAATCCAGGGCACAGAGTCCCAGGAATAGGTGCTGGAACTAGGAGTACTGGGGATGATTCCACAACCCCTGGCTTGAAGTGGTTTCCCTCATATACAGTATTCAAAGTTTGGTTCAATGACTCTCAGCACCCCCACCAAACAAACTGTCTCCTCACCCCTGATCCAAGGACCCTACAGGGGTGGAGGGTCCAAACCTGAGTCAAGCCACAGTCCAGGCACAGCCCTATTGCCCTATTGATGTGCAGGACAGACACAGCTCTACTGTACTTGGGTTCTGGGAGTCTGCTCAAAGTATTTCACCTGGATAAGGCAGTGTTTCCCCCAGGAACTGAAAGGAACAGGGGGTGTTCAGATTTTCAGGAGCATGAGATCCAAAGGGGGTGACACTGTGAGGGTAAATGGAGGCTGTATGGCAACACAGTAAAAACGGAAAAATACATAACTGTTTTAGCTTTGTAATTAAAATACATTTTATTTAAATTGACACTTTGGAAAACATTAAATATACTAATAAAAATGTTTAGTACAGAAATTCCCCGAGATAACGTCTCGAGATAGCAAGAATGTGAGATAATGACCTTGGCAAATAGAGCAGTTTAAAAATCTCGGTCTGAGGCAACCTATATTTATGTAAATTTCCCAGTCACAAATCTAGCATTCTGGAGCCAAGTCACTAAAACATATTAATCTAGTTGTCTCAGGAATGATAAAATATATTAATTCCTTCTATATATGCATAAACTGTCACGAATTTCAATAACAAACAAGAAGTTACACTTACTCTGGCTGGCCAGTTTCTGTAAACATGTTTTATAGATTTTTGTCCATGAAGCAATTCAGTGCTAAATCTGCCTCATATTTTAAATATCATAAAACACCAATAAAGATAATTTGACTTTATGAAAATTATTAATACTTATAAATCATAATTTGGAATTATTAGATTGGCCAACATTGTTAAAATGAAAGTACCAACAATGTCAGCTAGTCTTTGTTCATACTTTTCAAACCTATTATGCTTTTCCAGGTATAAGTATTTTATCATAGACTGTATATGCTTTTACAGTGTGTATTAATGTTTCAATTTCAATTCAAATTGCCAACCAAAAACTAAATGGACTTTTTTTCCAAGTAGGAAAAGTTTAAAACAACTAAATCTAGCTGGAAAATAACTAAATAGGTCACACTGCATGCAACTAGTTCACCACTACGGAAGGATGGGTGAGTTTGGGTGGGAGGTGCACTGAAATCTGTCAGGGGAAATTGAGGCAGGGAGTAGCTGCAGGACCAGACTTGGCCAATAGGAGGTGCTACAGGGTAGACATGCTTTATGACATGCAATGTACTATTGTGCCATTATAAATTGTCTCTGAATTTAACTTATGTACTGACTCCAAGATCTTACTTTAATTTGGAGGAATACAGAAAGATAAGGATGAGCTATGTTAGAGACAGAACTCCAGTGAACCAGTTAAAGTATGCTTTAAAGAGAGACTTCAGGGAAGAGCTGGAGGGTACCTACAGTTCAGGAAAAACAAGGTTGTATTTTATGGCCCAATGGATGCACAGAGATATTTAGACTCCTGATTTTCGTTGAAATCGGTGCACTCCTTTTAGGAAACTCACGTGTGCCCAGATGTTTTGATTCTTAGAAGTGGAGTCTTGTATAGGAATGATTTGTCCTAGGGGTACAGTGCACTCTATGTATGTCCTGAGATATAGATTTAGATACAGATTTCGGTGTGAAATGTGGACATACCTCTTATCAAAACACAATGTGGGAGCTCCTCAGCAGGGAGCTGCGCTGAGGATTTGTTTTAGGATGAGTGGGCCGGGCAGCTGGTGTGCATGCAAAAATCTTGTAAAATGAGCAGCGTCCATCTGGAGTCCCAGAGATACAATGAACATGGCACCTCTTGGTATTTTTATTGTGCGGCCTTTAAGAGTGCAAAAATGCAGCTGCAGCTGTCTCCCCGTGACCAAGGAACTCTGCTCTTTATTCCAAGATCAACTGCTCTTGGATTGGTGTGTAATAATATCTGATGTAGCTGTTCCCACTTGTCCCCAGCCCTGGAGCAAAGGCAGCACGAATCCGACCTGCTCAGTGTCCTAGGCCCTGCTGCAGCGTCTGGGCGGGAAGAAGTGGGTGGGAGAGGACGGGGGGTTGTCTCGCTTGCTCTCTGCTCCCGGGGAACGTTCCAAAAAGTATCCAGCGTTCTGAAAAAAGTAGCGAATGTTCCAACCTTGCTGCAGCCCGCCCGCCAAAACCCAGGCAGCGCAAGGGTTGGTCAACGTTACTCTTTCTGCTGCAGCAGCAACCGTAGCTTCAAACTGGGCAAGGGGAGGGGCGGGACGGGGGAGGGGGGGCAGCTGTTTTATTTGGGTCTCATCGGAGCAACCAGTTCTGCTGCAGCAGAAATTGGCTGACACTTGTGAGCCGACCCTCTCTTCTCCCAGCCCCCGAAACATTCACCCCTTCCCCGGCCCCAAATTGTAGAGGCGAACCAGTGACTCCTCGTTCAACAAGCCCTCGGCTTCATCGGACCACCATGCCCAGGGTTGTAAGATGGGCAGTTTTGGGAAAGCCGCCGTTCTGATGACAGCTGCTGCTCCTGCCGGAGGTGGAGGGGCTGCCGGGGTGTTGGCTCCAGCCGCCGCCTCGGGAAAGAAGTCTCCCCGTCTCCCCAAGTGTGCCCGGTGCAGGAACCACGGCTACTCCTCGCCACTGAAAGGGCACAAGAGGTTCTGCATGTGGCGGGACTGCCAGTGTAAAAAATGCAGCCTGATCGCCGAGAGGCAGCGGGTGATGGCAGCCCAGGTGAGCTGGGATAAAGGGGGAATCAGGCCTCCCGGACGGAATAAAAAAAGGGAGGGCGAGGGTTGGTGGAAGGTGGCTTTCCTAGCACCTCTCAGAACGGCCTCTACTCGAGGACCACCCGGAGTTGAAGTTGCAGAGCGAGGCGTTTACAAGCTCTGATTTCACGTTGTCCCGCGCAGAAATAACAATCCCCCCAAGTTGACAGGTTCTGCTGGAGAGCAGCCGCTAGAAACGCAACTACACCTGCTCCCCAACGCCTCCTTCCCTCAGGCCTCCTCTCGTGGCTGCATGTTGCCCTAGCCTAGCCCCCCTGGGCTGGCGTTCTGCTGGCGCATCTCTTCTTACTCCGTTGAAACAGAGACTGGGGGAGTTCCACTCTGCACCTACTTGCGGCCACTATCTTTGCCATCATATAATTTCCGTCTTACCCTACTACTAACATACGTTCTTGTTTAAAATATAAACCTCAAAAAGGCCCATTACGCCTTTTATCCAGCATCAGGGCATTCCCTTCCGATGTTTGGGACAGTGTCAAGAAAAAGCGTTTGTGCGATCTGACCGGCTGTCTCTTTCGCAGGTTTCTTTGTATTTGTAAATTGCTCAGAGTGTGTTTTGAAAACCAACTTCCAATAAGTGGCCTCAGATATTTACTTAAAGCTACAGTTGTAGTTTGACCGAGGATTGCTCACTATGTTATTAGAGTGAAGAGGATAGTTCATACCATGTTTTCTAGAGGAATAGAAAAAAAAAGACAGGTTTTGCAAAGTTGGAGGATAACACATGCTTGCTTTTCCCTTTCGCAAGTAATAGCTTTAACCTAAAGCTACAAGAGAAAAAGGAAAAATCTTCCAAAGAAGAGGTGGATCTGTTTGAGTTGAAACACTCCAGTAAAGTGATAGGGGAGCCATGAAACATTTGTGTATTAGTTTTAGGATTGCCAAAGAAACTGAAACAGAAACATTTTAAAAACAGATGATTGTCACACAGTGTTTTTTCCCCCATGTTAACAAATTACCACATATTTCCTCATCAGTTTGATATGTATATTCTGTTTACTGTATGAAAGAAAATAGTTATTTGTTTTCAAACTAAAATATTGATCAAACTGGATGGAAGAATCTGAACTTACTAAAGAGAGATAAAAGGACCACATTGTTTATCCACTGCTGATACACACACAGATTCAAAAGTTGGGAGTTTAACTTGGGTTGATTGCAGAAAGCTGGTTCAAAATGATATTTTTATCATTGCAATTGTTTTTTTAACATCTACTATCATGAATATTTTGTCTAATCGTATAACCAATATAATGGATTAAAGAATAAAACTATTTTCTTAATAGGAAAAACAATGACCTCAAGAAATAAAGAATTTCTTTGAATTTTGGAATTACAAGTGTTCAAAAAGAAAGAACAAAATAATTAATTTTTTTAACCTTAATAAAATGCTTTACTTTGCAGCTACTCCCAATAAATGAATTAGAATGATTTTCTTTATAATTTGGTATGACATTTTTACCCTTTACTTACAGCAGTATTCAGAAGTAGTACTAGTAAATAATGGATAATTTAAAAAAAGCAGATTTTGAATAATTTGTGAATGTATTTCCTTTGCAAAAATGAGTAAAAATAAACATATGTATAAACTTTAAATTCTATTAAGACATTCAAGATGCAAGTTTTCCAATGAAAAACTTTAATCGTGAATTTTCTATTGTAAAAGACATCTTCACTTACTCTGTATGGATATTTTTTGAAAAATCTGCTTCATGTAAGATCTAGTTTTCATATTGTTGAAGGGAACTGTTAATTATCTTTAACAAAATTTGGGGGCTAATCAACTTAATGAATGATGGAAGCAGGACTGAGTTGTAATTTTCCTGTTTGATATACTTTTTTTCCTGATTATTTTTCTTTGGTGTTAGGTATATTGTGGTTAATTTCTAAGAGTAAAAATATTTTGGTGGCATTTTAAAAACTTGTTTCCCATGAATTGTTTAAAATATTAGCCATTTGATGTCTTATGCTCTTGAGTTGAGCTGGTTTTAACTGAAAAACAGGAAACAAATCTTACTAGTTGTAACTGGGGGTTCAGCGAGTGCTGCCACAACATCTGGCTTGAAGGGGTTTCCATTATATACAGGGTTTATTATTTGGTTTAATGGCTCCCAGTTACCTCATTATACAGATTATTCAAGCTCTAATAGCTACAGGTGCATCTACACAGCACTGTTAGCATCAAAATAAGCTACGCAATTTGCACAGCGCAAAATGAGTAACTTATTTCGAGCTATTTCAAAATAGCTTATTTCATAATTTGGCGCTGTCTACTCAGCACTAAATTTCAAATGACTCGCTATTCCAAAATGACCCTTTATTGGGACATTGGAATAAGCCACCCGTTGTTTCAAAATCTATGAGGTTGAACAGTTGGTCTTGCATTCCTTTCTTGTGTCATTTTGATAGAAAAAATTCCTTGCAGGCATTAGTTATGCAAGTAAATGTTGCAGGAATGAAACCTATGGATTCAATTCTGCAAGTGGCTGTCTCTGAGAACTTGCAGAATCCACATTAACTGTAATTCCCTTGCTCTATGTCTGAAGTGTGTGGCTGGTTGACATGTTTTTAAACCTTGAAGTGCTGGAGTCAAGTTCCAGTCCCTGTTCTTGGACTTAATCGTGTTCTTGGACCTAATCATGTACTCTCATTGACTTCAGTGAGAGTTTTCCCCAAATAAGATTTAAATATTGTTATTTTAGGAGATCTGACTGCAGTGATTCTTTTGGAAAAAACTATAGATGCTTTTTTTTTTAACCTCAGTGAACATAACACACAAAAGTCCTGTTATGACATCCTGTGAAAAAGAACCATTTGAAATTGTAAAGTATCAGGTCCTCAAAAGATTGTTCTCATGCTGCTAGGTAGCTTCCACAATTTGCTTAGATCCTCTCTGCACATAGGCCTAGATCCCCATTAGGCTTCTAACTTTCAACCTGCTACCTGTGTGGTTCTGGGCCCTAGACATTGTACCTTATTTGGGACTGCTGTCTTTGCCTAACTTAGAGCTTCCAGGAAGCACTGAATGTTCCCACACATCATTTTAGTTGTTTTATTTTATATATATAGAAGTTAAAATCCTTAAAATCTTCACTTACCACTCCCAATATATTTTGCAATGACCCATTTTCAATAAGTGGAATCTTCCTGCACCATTAAGCTGACAGGGTGCTTCCTACACCATTAAGCTAAATTTTGCAAATAAAATTGTAAGAGCTTTTGTTGGAATGCTTTTTGTTACAAGAACCACTATTTAAATGATGTTTTTAGGGGTACAACAGCATTACAAAAGTAAAGAAAAACAGCACTGTTCAAATTAGTATTGAGGGGTAGGTCTAGATAAATTATAACGTAGCATCTCCAAAAGCGTGTCACCTCTTGCAAGTTTCATGGTGATTTCCAAAATTGACATGCAAACATGGACCAAACTGTCACATATCTGGGAAATCCCAGCATAGGGGATTATAAACTCTGATGCTCTGTGTATGTTAGCCAAATGACTTGTTAGTGACAATGGTTCTTTGCACTGGGTGCAGCTAAACACTGTTGTAACTAAACATGTGGATGGTATCATGAGCTTTCGTGGGCTAAACCCTCATCTTCAGATGGGCCATCTGAAGACGTGGGTTTTGCCCACGAAAACTCATGATACCATCTACATGTTTTGTTAGTCTGTAACAGGAGAAATGAAAAAACAACAATAGACTAGTAGCACCTTAAAGACTAACTTGGCTACCCCTCTGAAACTGTTGTAACTGCCACTGCAGACAAGAGAAAGTTGAGCCCTGTAACACAGTGGTTCTCCCGCAAGGGGTATGCATATCCTGGGTTGTATATAGAAGGGGGTACTCAACTCATCTAGATATTTGCCTTCATTTACAACAGAATACAAAAAGCTTTAGCAAAGTCAGTACAAACTAAAATTTCATACAGTGACTTGCCCTAGATATTGTGCACTGAAATAGATAACAATATTTATATTCCAACGGATTTATTTTATAAATCTATGCTAGAAATGAGAAGGTAAGCAATTTTTCAGTAGCAGTGTGCTGTGACCTTTCCATTTTTATGTCCGATTTGGTAAGCCAGTAGTTTTTAAGTGAGGTGACACTCGGGCTACGCAAGACAAATCAGACTCCTGAAAGGGATACAGAAGTCTGGAAAGATTGAGAGCAACTGCTGTAGCAGGATATGTGCATGGCCTCTTTCTGCAGTGGTGCTGAACATGTCTACACCTGTAAAAGCTCTTGCTGGTTTAACAGGGCCTGCTGTGACATTTGTTTTTCTCATGTGGACAAGTTCACTAGCTCAGCATTTCCCTTGGTAGTGTGGATTGGTAGGATTGCTGTAGAACGTTCAGGCAATGGGACCCATGGATCTGGGGTTCATTTGACTGGGAGGCATGTGTATCTTGGTGGGTGGTCACTGCCCCAGCCATATTCCCAGGGGCTCTCTGATTGCTTTTGCCTTGCTTTCATCCTGTGTGCTATGAAAACTTGTCTGAGGAGGGTTCAGGGGCGGCAGCCTGCAGGGGACCTTAAGGGCACTATTCCTCTAAGCACTGGCCTCCACGGATCTCTTGACATCTTCAGAGTTGCTATTTCTTGTAGGGTGAGAGCCCCTGTACTCATGCAAAGCTGCAGCAGCTACTCTGCAAGTGGGAGCTCCCAGAATTCCCTGCCTAAAGGAGGCTGTGCACTAGTAAAAGAGAGACTCTGTTTCCCCTTTGCTCAGATCCCCAGCAGCTTGAAGTAAAATAACAGTTTTTGAAAGATCTTTCCGGCTTTGCCTCAAGGTGACTGTATTAGTGGAATGCAGCTGACCCTGCTTAGAATTTTTAACAAGAATGACCTGATGTTAGCCAATAGCATTTATACCTGTGCCCCTGCTGGAAACAAAAGATATATTTGTTTGTGGCCATTTTGTGGCCACAAGAGTGTTTCATGTTACCTGCGTAACCTAACTGAAGTTCTCATTTTATGAATTAAAGTTAATTTTTGACTCACCCTGTTTCATATGATCTTTCTCCTCTAGACCCCTCAGAATGCTATTTACCCCTTTGATGTCCTGAAATTATTAGCCATGCATTGCTGGAATATACTAAGGGGAGGGAAGTGTATATCCATTAAACTTGCGACCAGTCAGTAATTTCCCTTGTATTCATTCTCAAACCGGAGAATTGACACAGATTCTTCATTCTTGTTTCCAGGTTGCATTGAGAAGGCAGCAGGCCCAAGAAGAAGAGCTGGGGATCAGCCATCCCATCCCTCTGCCCAGTGCCCCAGAGCTCTTTGTAAAGAAGGAAAACAATGGTGGCAGCTCCTGTTTATTGTTGGAAAGCAGCAGCCCGACACATTCAACAAACACGGCAACTACGGCATCCAGCACCCCAGCAGGTAAGGGGATGGGGAGAAGGGAGGGAAGGGTTCTGGCCAACTCTAATCCAGACAGCTGGTTTCAGAGAGAGGCTGCTTTTTGTTTTTCTGCTTCTTATAGCTGCAGTGATAGGTCTGCTGTGTGTTTCGTCTTTTTCCTTCCCACAGACCAACAGTACAGTAGAGAGAAGGATGACAGAGAAGCGAGGGGGGAAGAAATCAGCAAACACTTTTTCATAGTTTTTCCTTTTTAAAATAATGTGGAAATCAAAATGGAAATATTAGAAAACATCATCAAGCTTTTCTGTTGTCTAGATGTGTAGGCACAAAACAAGTCTAGAAACGGAATATAACTTAGGGACGTAAAATCCTGTTTAAAATGTTAACTGAGCGATTAACTGGTAAACATACAGTTTAAACGGTTAAGTGGTGCCCAGCCAGAGTCTGCTTCCTGAACCCTCTCCTGCATCTACCTTCCTACCCTGGACATGAGTTCCCTGCACTCAAACTCCTTCCTAGAGCTTGTACCCTGGACCCTCTTTTGGACCCCAATCCCTCACCCTGGGCTAAGCCCAGAGCCCCTCCCACACTCTGAGCCTTTTGGCCCAAGACCAGAGCCTGCATCCCAACTCCCTACTCCAGCTTGGTGAAAATGAGTGAGGTTCAGGGAGGAAAGGGGATGGAGAGGCCTCTGAGAAGGGATGGAGCAGGAGCAGGGCCTCAGAGAAGAGGCGGGAAGGAAAAAGGGGCAAGGGTATTTGGATTTGAGATAAATCTTACATTGCACTTAAATTGGAAAAGTGATCCTTGTGGTTGAAAAGTTTGGAGACCAATGCATTAGTGAAATGGCCCAGTTGAAGTATTTGTGAGGTCTGCCATTGACTAAGTGGGGCTCAGTTTTCACCATTGACTTTAATGGGATTACTCATGTGCTTCAAGTTAAGGACACGCATAACTATTTTCAGGATTGAGGCCCCACTGGTCTGATTTTCAAGACTGTGTGCCCATCTGCTTTTTAGCTGCCCAGATATAGATCTGCGCATCTAACTTGGCCTTTAGCTCTGGATGGTGTCTCTGCAGCATATTACATGGATGTGCATGTTTTTCTCCCTAAATACAAATAGAGAGATGTATAGGTAAATACATTTATATTAACATACATAGATTAAACTTCTTTTGCAGTGGATCTATATATGGTTAAGGTGATGCCAGCTCTAGTGTAAGAGCTACGGAGAATCTTTCCCTTTGCAGTCCAAGGTTCTTTCAGGTATTCTGCACTTATCTTTATTTGCTTACTGTTACTCTCAAGTGAGAGTTTAAGGAGTCACCTGATTTTTAGATTAAATGAATGGATTGTGCATTGATGGGATAAGGCAAGGAGCACTGGGGGAGTGGAAGCGCAAGATAAAGGGGACAGGGGTAATGAAAAGCTCTATTTTGAAAAATAAAGAGTCTAGGAATCCAATTCTGGTGACCAGAGTTCCCTTTAATCTTTTCCATCTATCTGCAGATTTTTCCATCAATGTGCAGAATAATTTCATATACACTGAGGCATGGGTGAATGTGCACCACCAATAGAAGCACAAAACCAAGCTGTGGGTGCTCTATTCATTAGCTGAGCGGTATTTGAATTTCTCCTGAGCAGCTGCACAAGCACAGAGCTGGTGACCAACCATATCATGAAAGATTCAAAGCCTTCAAATGTGTCATGTGAATGAAATATTACGATGAGTCACAGTGAAGCCAGTACCCATTTGGACACTCTTCTGTTTTTAGTGCACTAACTTGAGCAAAACTAGCACATAAGAATGGACATTCTGGGTCAGACCAAAGGTCCATCCAGCCCACTATCCTGTGTGCCGGAAGTGGCCAATGCCAGGTGCCCAAGAGGGAGTGAACCAAACAGGTAATGATCAAGCGATCTCTCTCCTGCCATCCATCTCCACCCTCTGACAAACAGAGGCTAGGGACACCCTTCCTTAACCGTCCTGGCTAATAGCCATTAATGGACTTAATCTCCATGAATTTATCTAGTTCTCTTTTAAACCCTGTTATAGTCCTAGCCTTCACTACCTCCTCAGGCAAGAAATTCCGCAGGTTGACTGTGCGCTGTGTGAAGAAGAACTTCCTTTTATTTTTTTTAAACCTGCTGTGGATTAATTTCATTTGGTGGCTCCTAGTTCTTATATTATGGGAACAAGTAAATAACTTTTCCTTATTCACTTTTTCCACACCACTCATGATTTTATAGACCTCTATCATATCCCCCCTTAGTTTCCTCTTTTCCAAGCTGAAAAGTCCTAGTCTCCTTAATCTCTCCTCATATGGGACCCGTTCCAAACCCCTAATCATTTTGGTTGCCCTTCTCTGAACCTTTTCTAATGCCAGTATATCTGTTTTGATGTGATGAGACCGTATCTGTACGCAGTATTCAAGATGTGGGCATACCATGGATATATATATAAGGGCAATAAGATAGTCTCCGTCTTTTTCCTATCCCTTTTTTAATGATTCTTAACATCCTGTTTGCTTTTTTGACTGCTGCTTCACACTGCCTGGACGTCTTCAGAGAACTAGTCACAATGACTCTTTCCTGATAGTAGATAAATTAGTCCCCATCATATTGTATGTATAGTTAGGGTTATTTTTTCCAGTGTGCATTACTTTACATTTATCCACATGACATTTCATTTGCCATTTTGTTGCCCAATCACTTAGTTTTGTGAGATCTTTTTGAAGTTCTTCACAGTCTGCTTTGGTCTTAACTATCTTGAGCAGTTTAGTATCATCTACAGACTTTGCCACTTCACTGTTTATCCTTTTTCCAGATCATTTATGAATAAGTTGAATAGGATTGGTCCTAGGACTGACCCTTGGGGAATACCACTAGTCACCCTCTCCATTCTGAAAATTTACCATTTTCCATCTCTCCACCCAAACTGGGAAGCACCAAGTAAGGCAGCAGGCAATCAGGGCTTTGATGGTCTGAGCACTTGAGACTCTGTCTTACTCTGATGAAAAGAAAATGCAGGGGCAGAATGGGTTTGGTTTACAGCAGCCTAGTGAATGTGCCCTGTTTTGGAGGTGGTGATGTTATGCCTCAGAATCAAAACTTTAGTTGAAATAAAAATGAAGTCTTTGGCTCTTCTGATTGAAAAGATAATCTTCCAAATATGAATGGAACATAACTGATGGAGCAGTGCCTGCTGGAGTCTGCAGACAGCCCATGCCAGTAGCTTTGAATTCTAAACGGCTCCTTTTATCTCCCTGACCCTTAGGTAGAGAGATCATAGGCTGACCTTTCCCCAAAGAATGGTGTACATCAGAAATGACAGGTGCAGAGAGAGCCACTCACATGACAGGAAGGACTCTCACAGCATTGCTATGGAAGAAATGTAATTATTGCCCTCATTTTGGGGTTTTGTTACATATGATGCCTTGGAAAATTGGGTCTGGGCATCATGTCTACATTGAGGAGACCAGAAGATGCTGTATGATAAGAACATAAGATGATACTTCAAGTTTCTGGGTTTCCCCCATGTGTATGCAATGGAGACTCCCGCAAGATGTAGCATGCTAAAGCTCACACCTATTTATCTCCAGGAAGCTTTACACATTGTGGGCTTCTCCTCCATGTTAGGTTTCCTACAACCTTAGTCATGGCATCATTTCTTTGCCTCCATACTGGCACTGGTACCGATCAAGTGAAATGTGCCAGTGTTAGAATTTAAATAAGCAGTGTTGGCAGTGTTGACAGCATCTCGCTCAGTGGTCCCCAGTCTAGAGTAGGGGCATCTGGATGCCGCTCTGATATAACTGTTTAATAATATGACAGTTTCATTTCAGATAGAACATATGTTTAACAAAATCTGTAAACTGGCCAACGTAATAAAGAAAATCTCCAGATTAAATATGGAACCGACACTTTGTTAATGTCACTGAACTAAAGAAATTAAAGGTTTAGTTCATTGTTATTTTTCCTTTTGATACATTTATCATGAATGATGGAAACAAAAATGTTTTCTTTATATTTTATTATGTAGGAGCTCCTTTTATTAAGAGTCTGGGAGAATGGCAAAGTTTTCTACATATAGTTAGATAATTATATGATTAATGGTTCTTTGGCAAAGTAGCATTTAAGTGTTTACATGCAGAGATTTTCAAATCCATGAATATCCACTTTATATCCTCAGATATTTCATCCACTGATGTAGAGATCCGTGACCATTTTTGCAGATTATGGATCAGATGCAGATACAAATTTTGTATCTACAGCCCTGCAAAGCTGTGGATGTCTGCTTTATATTCATAGACTATTTTTGCAGATGGCAAATTATATATGGATACAAATTTTTTATCCCCACAGGGGTCTAAGTACAAGTACACAGTGTTTGTTTGGGAAACAATGCATAGAAACTTAAACTTAAAAAAAAATCTTCTTTACTAGAGATTTTTCAGTTAGGGTGTGTCTACACAATGAAACTAGCTCAAAATAAGCTATACAAGTTGAGGTAGGCAAATTGTGTATCTTATTTTAATCTAATTTTGAAGTAAAGCACTATTCCGAGATGTATCTTAACCCTCGAGGAACAAGGGTTATAGGGAAGTCAGAATAGCGAGCCCGTTATTTCAAAATCTATTTTGAAATAACAGGCTGGTTTAAAAGATGCAGAATAGCTATTTCAGGATACCAGTGGTATCCCGAAATAATGCCACAGTCTAGATCAGGGCTACTCAACTTTGGAAGCCCCGGGGGCTACAATGATATTCATAGCACATAACAAGGAGCGTAACTTAAGTGTGGTTGCATATACATGCAAGTATATATGCAAATAGCTTCTTTCACACTGATGGGCATAAACACAAAGATTAAGGCAAGACTACACAACACGTAGGCCTCATTTAAGTCAGTTCTGTTGATATTAATAAAATGCAATATTTACCCAATTTCCACCCATATGACAGCACTTTTAATGAGCAATGACAGTCCAGGAATTTAACTACAAAAACACATATCAAAA